TCATCTTCTGTATTGCTTGCTTGAAATTCTCATCGCGAACGATGATTACTATAGAATGCTTGTATTTCCTGAGGACATATCACGGAGAGAAAATATGGGGAATCAGATATTTTTACAAAATATTTTTTCTTTGATGTAGCAGAACAAGTTAAAAATAAATTCAAAATATCGTGAAAAAAGATAAATTATAATATTTTTTCTTTCAACAAAATCAATTAAATATCATCTTTCTAACAATAGAATATGAATTTTATCATATTTAAACTTCTGTTAGCATTATTACAACTTTAATTGTACACGTTTTTCCTGTTTTTCATATAAGAAACTTAAGAAATTATTAAAGATCACCAAAAATCCGTCTAAAATATAAAAGAAACTATACCAATAAAGTTCTTTTTTGCTTTATCCTTTAACGCTAAGATATAAGTATTCAAAGTGCTTGCAGGACGTAGCAGAATTTTATCAATGGTCTAAAAGCCCCATTGACTTACATTCTTTTCTTAGAAATGGGTACTATATTTTTCCAGGAATGTCTGAACTTTAGGATAGGTCAGTGAGACAAGACATGAACGAGAAATCTGAATAAGAAACAAGGACGAAGATAGTAAATTAAAAATCATCCTTTTCTTTACACGACGATATCTCGAGAACCGGAAGTCGTATCGAGATAAATGAAAGAGCATTTTAAAAAGCAAAGTTTTGTGCTTCTAATGGTCGTTCACTCGTTGATAGAAGATTACTATCTTTGGAGTTATAGCGGTTCAAAGTTTTCCTTATTTTAATTGAGTTTAATGGAGTTTCAAGGTAAATTATTTAATAGATACATTTATTTTTATGGAATATTTATTGTTTATAGTTATATTTTCATATCCTAAAAATTTAAAATTATAAATAAAATATTATTTATCAATAAAATATAAATAAAATATTATTAAATAAACGTATATTTTAAGAATATAAAATGTTATAAAAATCTGAAAAAATTCTAGTGCCACAGATGCAACAGTGGTTGGTTTCCATCGGAATTGTTTTCTTAGCATAAAAGCCACGTCCATGTAGAATCTTGAAATGTAGATGAGAACATGGCTGTGTAAAAGCAATATAATAAAATGCAGAAATTCTCCCTTTAAAAGTATTTTAGATTGTTCTCAATTTCACTATAAAAGTATTGATAAAATAGGAATCCATTTTTTACTTTACATTCGTCATTTTATTTTCTATCGATTTGAAAACTTGTTGTATGCATAACTTCGACAATAATTTTTTCGTATGTTGCAAAATCACGTATAAAGCGCTTTTTCCGGCTTCAATTTGAATTTTTTTTCATTCCAATTTAAAAAAGTAATTAAGTTCATTTTATATATTAAAAAAAAAATAATAATATTTTTAAATTTATATACAATATATTTAATCCAAATTTATTTTATTATTTTGGATTATTCAATAGTTTTTATCACTTTTAATAAATTAATTAATAAACTTTTTGACGATCCTGTTAAAACAAATTGTAATAATAAAGTAAAAAGTATACTAGGCAGGAAAAATTTTCGATGCAAGCTCATATCGTTTAGTAAATCACGATTTAATAAATAGTATATTTTGTTATTAACGAAAATTTTACAATAACCATTTATGGTTGCAAAATATTTTGAAAAAATATGATATTTTTTTTCAAACCATATTTTTCCCTTCTTGAAGTACAGTAATATTGAAAATTTAATATCCAGCACTGTCTATCAACCTCATATTGTCAGAAATATTTATGTATTTCGTTTTTAGATTAAATATGCAGATATAAATTTCTGTCATTTTCACTGAATTTCGCGATAAACCATAGTTGTCAAAAGCATTAGATTTAGTATTTAGAATATGATATGTGAATATGCTAGTAGACATTTGTATTTAAATAAATAAATATATAAATAAAAAAAGAAGGAAATAAAAAAAAAAAGATTCGATTCGACACCTTTATATATTTATCATGAATATTCATATACGAATCTGCACTATTTTGCATGCAAAAGTACGCGGTGATGGATTATTGATTGGAAGAGACAGAATTTGATTGTTAAACGAGCCTGCATAGACGTGTCTCTTTTATATTTTAAATGCGTGAAAAATTTTTTTCATACGAACGAATTAAAAATATTTAAACGATATTTGGATATATACATGTTGCTGTTTCTTTCTTTTTCTCCTCGACAACGGTGACATCTCTTTGATTTTTAAGTCCGATAAATTCCTTCATTTCTTAGAACTCGTTCCTGTTTTCACGAATTTTTTCCTGATTAAATAAGAAAGAACTTTATGATTAAAAGCTTTGAAGTGACTTCCATGAAAGCTTGATAATCAAAGATTAATATCTAGAATTTAATTAATATCATAATCTAAATTTAGAAGATATCATGTATCAAAAAAATTTATTATAAATTCTTTTTACAAATATTCCTTTTTTCTTTAAAAAATAATAATTAATGATTCTTTAAAATATTAATAGAAATTGAATACGAATCGATTCACATTGTATTTGTAGTTTGCAATAAAAAGAAATGAATAAGTGAATAATCAACATGAATAATCGTTCTCTGATTAATAAATGTTAAGGTTAGTTTAATCGGTTTTCATCGAAACAATCACCCTAACAATTGCAATCCCAATAATTTATTGTAAATAATTAAGCTTTTGAATAACGGATATATCATCATTATACTGCAACTATATATATATATATATATTGCTAGAGTAATCAACATTATTATCTAAGATTTGAATTGCATTTTCAACTCATAAAGTAAAATGATGAACCATTGCATTTATACAAATGTATAAAGATATTCCTCTTTTTTTATTTTTATTTTAAGCATGTACAAATATCATTAAACTTTCATGGAATAATATATTGCATCAATGCAAATGTTTTTTGGTTATTTCAAATATAATACACAATGTGAACAAATACTGCAATTTTTTCGTAAAATGGAACTTTTATGTCTCGTGTAATTATTATTAATCATAATTATTATTCATTAATCTCTATATTAAAAGCAGAAATTTTATTCTCCCATAATTATTTAATACAATTTTATTTATAATTGTAACTTTTGATATATATACATATATATTAATTAAATTACGAGCATTAAAAAATTCAAATCTAAATCCGGAGAAAATATATTTCAATGGAATGAAATTTTATTACGTAATTATCGTGCCGAACGATGTCTCGTTGAAGTCTACGTTCAATCATTGAAATGATATATAATTGAGAGATATTGAAGAGATCTTGATTGCCAACAGTCCTAAGCTATCCATTTATCCATTTTTATTGAAATCTTATTGAAAATCTCTGAATATCATTGGTATGGATAATTTAAAGGCAATTCATTCAACGTCTCTAAGCTATCGAATTTATATTCAAATTTCTTGAAACCGAGTGACTTCTGTCTCCACGAAAATTCGCAGATAAATTAATCTTTTTGATTATTACCTTATCAGTTTTTTTTCTTCGTTATCACTTTAAATCTCTTTCTAGATAATGGCAATAATAACGTTGATACATTTGTAAATTTGTCGTAAATCAATTTTAATTAATACACAAATTTTCCGGTATCATCCATTTTGTTTAATATTTATATTACTTTAAATATCATTTTAAACGAAATAGAACGAAATAAAATCATTTCGCAGCATAATAAATTTATCTCTAAAAAGATTGAATTATTTATACTACATTCAATCTTCCTTCAGTACGGCCGTTCTTTCTCATGGATTATGCAACGATGAATCGAAATGAATTTTTATATAAATTTCAGTTCTCTCTATCTATGTAAAATTATCTTTCTAATTTTTCTTTCTCGCTTTACACAATTACATGGTTTTTTTTCTAATAAATATCGTGAAACAATATGTTCGATATTCGATATCTGACCAACACGTTGGTTAATAAAATTTTTCATCGCGAGCAACGAAGAAAAAAAAATGTAAATAAAATAATGTAGCAGTCATTTAGACGACGAAATTTCGAAGATGTATCAAACTAAAAAAAAAAAAAAAAAAAAAAACAGAGTAATCCAATCGAAATTCGATCCTTTGACGGATAAAAGATTAACAAATTCTATCCATATTTTTTTATCTATCCATTTATCTATCCATGGATATCGTGTGACAATTTACCACTCTTCTTAAGAATTTCATTTATTGTTGTGTCTTTTTGAATTATATTTATTGCGATAATAATCTTAACGAACGAAGGTTGATAACGAAGTTTAAATCTAAAAAAATTATACCTCCAGAGACGGTGTCTTTGAACTTATACTCATTGTTAGATTCATTTGAATAATCCCGATAAGTCGGCCGCCATTTTCCTGGCCATTCACCCGAGAAACCACGGTTGAATAAATTAAATGATTCGACGTTCAAACGAAAATTTGACAATAAGATAATAATCACGCCTTTGATATTTAATATCACAAACAACAATTTCGATCAATCTTTACTCGAATAATTAAATCCTTCATCGATTAACAAATTATGCATGTAATTATTACATATATAAAAATATTGTCACGAACGATTAAATTTGTTGAAGAATTTGTTTATTCGTTCTATATTTTGTGACTATATTCCGAGGAAAAAAAGAAACAATCCTCGCAATCTCTTCTTCTGCTTTCTTTCGTCAAACGGAATGGAATTTTTCTGATACGTGCACATTATCGCATTCATTTCAAAGAATGTCATATATTTTTCTAGACCGAATTAAAAACTATTTTATTCCTGCTAATTAATGGGTGAATTTTTATGTTTATAAGATGGACGGGATAATAAAAGACTCCATTGGAATAACGTTTAATAAAGAGGAGGGAAGTGAAAATGAGAGAAAATGTGGTTATCTCACTCGGAGGAAAGAATAATCATTAAAATATAGTAATTTTATTTAACTTTACCTGATATTGTTCCATTCATCTTTTATGAAAATGAATAAAGACCCATGAAAATAATATATATATACATTTATTTCTGATAAAATAATAACATAACAATTTTTATGAACGATAAAATACAATACAATAATTATTAGACAATCATCATGAAATAATTATTAAAGTCATCCTGAGAAACATTCAGATCGCGGAACGCATATCCTATTTTTATTCCTCAAATAACCGGATTTACATATACATCCTGACGCACATATCTGAAATAAAAACAATGAACCGTATGGATTACATATATTCAACATATATTTAACGTCTTTCAAAATTATAACGCTACTAACATAGATACAAGGAGATTTACTATCAGGTTTTGCGCAAGAAGGTTGGCACAGTGCATCGCATTTGGTGAAGATCTCATTTCTTGGACAATTCAATTTACCAAATCCTCCAACCACTATATTTAATAAATATATCACTAAATCACTTAAAATAATTATATATATAAAATAATGATATATATTACACTTAAAATATTTTTTTTTGTACAACTTTGTAACGATTAATTTTTTAATAAAAATTATTTAATTAGCATTAAATTATATCAAACGTTTTTATTATTTCGCATTATAGATATATGTATTTCCAAGAGATTGGACGTAACTTTATCTCGAAATAATGAAACGAAAGGTGGACGCGGATTTTGGAATCGAAATCTACTTACACAAGGAAAAAATTGCCAAAAAGAGGAACGAGACAAGAACGAGACGAGACATGTCTTGTGTTGTTCTCCTGAAACAAAGTTGTTTTTTCGAAAAAAGAAAACTCACCATAATGCATTTTTTTTCTTTTAACTTATATACGGTCGATCTAACGTTACGACTGTGTCGTAAAATCGGTCGTGCCGAAAATCGCCGTTATTTCCGACTGTCAAAACAGCAACTCGAGATATTCGTTTGAAATAAAGAGCTCTGGTATCATTCAATGTCACGCGATGTCGATTTATAATAGATTGACGCGTTCACGAAATGTTGGAATTTTTTTACATTTTCCTTTTTTTTTTTTTTTTTTTTAATATTGAANTTTTTTTTTTAATATTGAAAAGCACTTGGTTGCATAATTTTTTTTCTTTTTTCTCTTTTCAAGTTTTCCACGAGATGAAATTTTCGCTATTGTTTTTTTTATCCATTGTACCAATACGATAATGGTTGAACAACAATTGTTGCATCATTGTTGTTACTACTCGTTACTCGTCTCACTATTTAATAATCTCTTCGAGAGAACTTGCATTTCGAGAAAAATATTTATTCGCAAGCGAAGTATAATCTGATGATAACTGGATATATACTTGGAAACATCCTTGATACGTGCCATATTTGGAGATACTTAATTTAAATATCATAATTTTAATGAAAATTCATTGTGTGTGTGTTAGTGGTTAAATATATCTCAACGAGGTAATTTTTGTGTAAATGAAGTAGATGTTCGATCTTCAAAGGATGAATTCACCTTTGAAGAAGAGAAAGTGTCACGAAAGGAAGATATTATCCGGATACTTTTAATATTCTACGAAAAAATTCAATTCAAAGGAGTCATAACATTTTTAATCCACGGAATAAAATTCATATTACTTCTATGCGAATTAAAAAATTAATGAATTAATTACAAAGAATTTTGTAATTTTTTTTAATGCGGGGAACAATGTGAGAGAATGAGTTTGATTTTTGAATTAAAATTCTTTATTTCGTTTGATTATATATACGATGATAAAACGATTGCTTGACAAGGCCTTCATTCTCAAATAAATGATTGCAAATAATAAATGATGCTTCACTTTGCAAGATTAACATTCAGACGGTTCAATGCATTCCTTATTTTCGTTTCTAAGCAATCCAGATTCGCATTGGCAGCTTGGGACGCATTGCTGGAAATATAATATTAAAATTACATTATTAAGAAAATTGTTTTAACGCAATTATAAAATATTTTCCATCATTATACGAAATAATTTGTTGTAAGCTTTCGATATGTAATTTCTTCGAAAATACTAACCAGTGTACATATGGGTAAGGGGTTGGAGCAAGATGGCTGACAGGCAGTACCACAGCTCTGCCATACTTCGTTCTCTGAACATATTCCTTTTGCCAGTGTTGCTGTTTTTATTTGTGAAAATGTTTCATTAGAATATTTTACAATAGCAATAAGCTCATATTCCGTTTAAATTTTTGCGCGTAAATCACTGATATTGAAATCTGCATGATTCCAGAAAATTGTACTAGCATTGAAACAAGCAATGAAAATTTTATTAAGATTTTTGAGGTTATAATTATCAGATAGAAACTTGACTGGATTAATTTACGTATTTATTTGATTATTTTTTAATTTTAAATAAAATAATTTTAAACGTCATCTTTCACTCTGAAATTACGCAAGATCGAAATGGAATTAAAATTAAATCGCATATAAAAAGAGAACTTTTTTGATTGAATGCAAATGAGTCGAGTATAACACAAATAATAATTTATTTCAATGTAGTTACTTACAGGAAGAGAAGATAGCCAAAATGGTTAGGAGAGTAAGAAGAATGCGAGACACGTTGAATGTATTCATGTTATTCGTTTGGTTGTACCCTGTAACTTAATGAAAATTCCGATTTCAACTGCTTTTATATATCGTTCCAGACCTTCTATACGTGTTTTTACAATTGATACTGTTTGCATTTGATTTATGCGAATAAACAATTCGGTGCAAGAATGAACAAGAGATCAAAAACAGATTTTTATTCATCTTTTATCAACGAATTATTTAGCGGTACCAATCATCTTTTATATTAATTTGTTCATTATCTTGATTCAAATTCAATTTCTTTCTTTTTTTTCTTTTTCTTTTTTTATAATTAACAATTGTATGAAATAGGATTTTATTTAAATAAATTTGACTTTTTTTTAAATTTCATAGAAAAACAAGTTCGTTCATTATTATTTTTTACTATACTATAGAAAAAATGAAAAATATTTAATCGTTTATTTGGCTTCGTTCGAAAGCATTTTATATCTATAGATGATTCACACAAAAGATTTTCATTGGAATTGATATTGTATACTTTTTGAAAAACAAATAACCTACATATATGTTATCTTTTCTGCAAATATCTATATAATATATGATTTAATTTGATGTGATAAATTTTAAACGGAAATTTGAATTTTATCGCGTACATCTTTATCTTAATTGTGTATCATTTTCGTTAATTGTATGATATTTGTTATCCTTTTCCAAATTTTGAGTCATAATGGCAGAGCACACATATAGAATTTCCAAAATGAAAATCTCTGCCAATGATAATAGTGTATACTGTATACTGTAAACGTAAAAATAAGTTATTATTATTTAATTATTAAATAAAGTTTTTGACCCGTATTTAAATTATTTATTTAGATTTTTTTCGATTATTAATTTTTATTTTGCAAACTTTATAATGATAATGATTTTAATATTCAGCTTATTAAAATGCTGTAAACGTGATTTATTTTACTTGCTAATGCTACTGAAATAAACGTATTAAAAAATGATTACGCTATTACGAAATATTTTGTAAATATTTAATTCATTAAACGATAAAATGAGCAATAAATAAGTGAAAGATATATAGCCAAAATTTAAAATGAAAATGCTTTCTAATTATCAGTTTACTCTATTTCGATTAATGGATGAAATATGAAATGGAAATAAAATAAACTAGAAAGCTTTTTTCATGCGATATTTCATATGGAATAATTCTCCTCGTATTTAACAAATTTTATATATGGATATAGAATTTATGCATTTATACTAGAATAATTCAAAACGTCATCAATGTCTTCGTAATTCCCATTTAAAAAAATTCCACTTAAAATGTATTCTATATTCAAATACTCTATCTTTCACCTCCTGTGACGTGATGACTATATGATGTAAAAAAAAAAAAAAAAGTAAAAAAATTTTATCAAAAATTAAAAAATTAATATTTTTAAATATAATTCCATTTAATTCATATTAAATTTTCCATGTGTCACGCTACTATTCTGTAACAAAGAACAAATTTTTAATTTTTCAAAATGTTCTCTACTGAAAATATTTTTATTCCCTTAATTAAAAAATTGTTTTTTATCCAACTTGTTTTCTTGATCAAAAGAATTCGTTGAATGGAATTTAATAAAATTTATATATAAATTAAATTAAATTGAAAAAATTATTTGAAAAATGTTTGAAATATTTTATCACTTCTATTAATTATATTTGTTCAATAGTATTTTATTATTTTATATCGAAAAACATTATTTTTATCATGTAACTATTTTTCTTTAAAAAATATATATTTCGTAATATCATTTATAATTAATTGCAATTACTTTTTATCATTTATTTAATCAAAAAATCGATAATTTCAAATGATATCGTTTTTTTAATTTGATAGAAATTATTTGCATATTTATTATGATAAAATTTAATGCAAAATATTATTCCAAGCAAATGATAATATGATTTGACATTATTATCCATTATTTTTATTTATTTATCATACATATATATTCTCGTGTAATTATTAACGTAAATTGATATATTTCATGTTTATATAAAATTATCACTCTATAGATTTTACTAAAGGGAAAATTAACATAGTGGCTTGAACGATCTATTGTCTCTGTGATATCATAAATAGCTTTGATATCTTCTGTATAAATTTACAACTCAATTCATCGCTGAAATGCAAGATGATATTCTCGTTAACCAACCCAAAGGCGCAACTCCATGGCAAAATCTGGTTAATGTACTATATTATGATCTATTTCTTCATTATAGCATAAGAATTTCACGTCAACATGGTTATTAATACCTATATGAATGAAATAAAATCATTATACATATATTATGAACTTGGATTATATAGTGAGAAAATCATATCGTATAATATTACCTTAAAAATATTAATCAATGAGCATTATTATTCCTCAATCCCAAAGTAATTTGATATTGTATTATGATGTAAAAGAAACAGGAAAAATTCAAATTGTAAGCTGAAAATAAAAAAGAAATTTTTATATAAGAAGTTATTATTTTTTATTTATTAGTACGTAGTTCTTAGCTTGCCATCACTTTCCATAAAATAATTTTTCTATATAATATTATTTTCTATATAATAATAATTCTATATAATAATATAATATTAGTAATATAATTTTTCCAATATAATAATAAATTTTTTTAAATCGAATATTTGAAAAGTGATGCCAATTACCAGGTCTCACCAACGAGGAGGTGACTACGTATCGAGACCCATCTATGAACAATATAATAAAAATATATTCTTAAAATTATAATAAAAATTAAAGAAATAAAAATATAAAAATTGAAAAACACTTACGACATATGAAAAGTGAATAGAATTAATTTTATTAAGATTTTTAATTAAGAAAGTAGTTAACAATACATTAAAATTGATCAGAAATCGGTAACATGAATTCGCAGAGTAAAACAAGGAAAAGAAAGTAAGTAGAAAAAGGATAGAGATACGGTAAAAATATTGAAATCAGCGCCATCTTCAGAGTGCTGAAAATAAAACTCATAATAAAAGGATAGAAAATAGTGAGAAAAGGATAGAAATAGAATTAGAAATGATCATTAGCGTCATCTCTTGGATGCTAAAAACATCTTGTTGAAGATAATGTAGAATACAAATTAAAAACTAGTGCCACCTTTTGAATATTTTTAGAAACATATATTTAAAAACATCAAGAGATGGTACTAGACTTTAATTCCTACTCTACCTTATCTTATCTCAAGAAGATATTTTCCGAAGCCAGAAGATGGTACTGCTAGTCAATTCTTAGTCTATCTCTATCCTTTTCCTGTTATTTTTTATCCTTTCTTTATGAATTTCATTTGCAGCACTCTGAAGATGACGCTGATTGCAATAGTTTTATTATCTCTGTCCTTTTCTCACTATTTGTCTTTCTTATTTCCTGGATATCTATTTTCTATATTACATATACTCAAAAAATGACTGATAAATTTTATTGTATTGTTATTCAATTTTTTAATTAACAATTTTAATCTATTTCATTTTATTTAATCTTTTTATTGTAAACATATATATTTTATATAGATTTTTGTATTTTTAAATATTATATATATATTTTTATATATATTTTTATACAATTTATTTTATATTCATGAATTTAAACAATAATTTACAATATAAAAATACTAGTTTAATTAAAGTTATTTAATTTTATACTTAATTTTTATAGAATTTTTATAAAATAATAAATATTAATTTTAATATTAATTTGTATTAATATTTAAATATTTATTATTTAAGATTATTAAAATTTTATATTAGTAATATTAAAATTTCGATTTATTTTATTCCAGATTTATTATATTCTGAATTTTTACGAGAATAAACTAATAATAGATTTATCAAATTTATATTAAAAAAGAAAATATAAATTATTAAAATTTTATTTCAAATATTTTATCAGAATAATATTGGAAATGGCATAAAAATTTTATACCTATTAATTTTATATTTATAATATGTTTTTAATAATAATTTAAAATTAATATTATACAAATAATCCCAAAAAAATTGAAAAATTCTAAACTTCTATTTTGTTTTGTAAATGAATATATTCATAATTGCTGTATATTTTTAAAAAATAAATTCATATCAAAAATTAACTTATCGTTCATAGATTACACGTTGGAATAATTTTTCATTTACCTGTATTAATAACGAAGTGTATCTATACTGGTAAATAAAACGCACTAAATTAACTATGTTCGTAGTTAAAATATAATTAAAACTTTTTTGAATAAATGTAATTAATATAAAATTCGTATGTAATTTTAAATTATACATGAAATTGTACGTGTATAACTTCAACACATCCGAATCGTATAAAAGTCAGAAAGAAACTGCTAACATGTAACCTTTTCTCACCTGGTAATTATTGTCTGATGGATAAGGTCGATCGACGCGTCTGTCAATTTCAATTGAATATTTTAAAATATAAAATATTTAAATATTATTATTCTTATTATTTTATTATTTATTTTATTAATTTTATAATTTTTTATGTTTTTTTTCTCTAATTTAAAAATGATAAGTTTCTATAATTTCTACGTTTGTAGCGGTCGATAATAATATTTTTTTATTATTCTATAATATTTTATATATAATGAAATTTAAAATTTTTATCACAGAGTAAAACTAACGCATTGATCTTACGTTTTAACTTATTCCAATATTATTCAATTTCTTTTTAAGAATATTTTTAAAATTTTACATATTTAAAAATAAATCACTTGGGATAATTAAAATATATTTTGCATAAATTTAAAAATATAAATTAATATATATATTTTTATATATACTTACTTATATCATTTGAAATGCTCGTGTAATTTTCAAATGTGTCATTGGAAATGAAATAAATTCGAAGTAATGGTACGTGATAAATTTGTATTTTCATGTGTACACGGACAGTGGACAATTTCCTGGTCTCAATGGTGCTTATAAGACTAGATTGCGTGCCGAAAGCACGATGTATGGCGCAACCATATTGCAAAAGTAATAATAAAACAAATGATTTAACGGCGTTATTTCATTTCATTTCTCTCATATATATCTTATATATATTTCTAAAATTATTCTTTCCAATTTCCAAACGACGAATATTACGTCTGGAATTCAAAGAAAATTCGTCAGAGACAAATTTATTATAAAACGATAGGATGATATCGACTAACGATTTCTCTTCCAACGTGTGTGTACATTTAAGAATCGTATTTATTCTCAGTCGCGTATATTCATGAGCAATATTATATGTTATAGAGGCATATATAGTCACGCCGCTACTTAGCAAGGAAAATGCAGCCTATCTGTACATTGTGTATATAACTCGTTACATCTTTCTTCTCATCTCTATACTCTCGTCGAATTTAATCTCTCTCGTTTTACACTTATTGTTAGGATCTACTTACAAGCATACAAATAATTCGCTTTCGAACACTCGCATCACTTTCGCATCACAATAATTACATCGATCATTCAACATTGATTACAAATGGTATCTACAATGCGGATGATATAAAAGTATGTCGTATTCTGCGCGTAATTGTTATATATATTATTATTTTTAACAGATCGCTCAAAATTATCGAATTTCGATCCAACGAAATTCTATTATTGTTGCACTTGCTAGGTTCGATATATACGAATATTCCAACGGAATCAAGAAAAATTTGAGGTTAAAAATTTTAATTAAAATATAGTAATAATACGAAGGGAAAAAGATTATCACGAATCATATCATAAATCGAATGAAATTGTAACAAAAAATTTATAAACACGACTTCCTTCCATTCGAATAGAATATTCGAATATCTGTGAATGTAAATTATTATTCCAAATATTCTCGATTTTATTTTATCGTATCACTCCCGTAAAAATGAAAATAGATATAATTTATTCTTTCAAAGGATATTAAATAAACGATCAAAATTTTTCCAAAAATCCTTATAGATATGTCTTACGTCACCGAATAATAAAATGATTTTAAATTCGTTTTCTCTCTTCTTCCTCCTCCTCCTTTTTCTTACGATCGCTGCAAAATGGATATGCGAACGATCCTAAAGCGGAATATTACACTGTCCGTGACATTACCTATGATCCTTTTTATCCTGCCTTACAGTCATGTGGTATTAACTCTTTATTTATGCTCTAAAAATCACGCATAATCAGCTTTGTTTCAAATATTCAAATAAGGTACATTATATTTACGAGCTGGTGTTATCATCGAACAATCGATGATCCGATTCATACATATTATAGTCGAGAAGGCAGTGAAAATTCGATTGAAAGAACTTTTCCTTTTTTTTTTTTTTTTTGCATGATGTTATATCAAGTGAACGTTATTGCATATTATATTAAGAGAAATCTGATGAATCGATGAAAGTGAAATATTGCTAATTTTTTCAAACGTTCGTCGATATTTACGAGCAAATTAAAAATGAAGAAATTACTCGAATAATTATCCGCAATAAAATAAAGTAATCGTCGTATCGATATACGTGTTCAATTTCAACATATCGTACATCTATTAATTTTTATATTAAAATTTTCAATTCTAAAATCTATATAAGCTTTCACACGTTTTCTTCGTATATTTTTTTTTTTTTTTTTTTTTTTTAATAAAATCTATATTTAATTAAGCCTATAAGTTTCAATTTACATTCGACTCGTATTATATATTTATAAACTATATAGTAAAAGTCAATGACTTTTCTTTGTTCAATCTGAGATTTCTAAATCTTCCCAGACAGAAACTTTGTTACAAAAATTTATTAACGCACTTGCATATACACTTTGAAATCGTTCATATTTAATTTCGAACGATAGAATCAGTAGAAAACGAAACGAAGAATTTTATTTAATTTCACAATCGATCAACGAGTATCAAAGAAATGATACTGGTTTAGAGGATTATTTGGAAATCTTTTTGATCAAGTAAAAATAAAAATTTGAATTTTAAAAATATCTGCTTCGTGAGATCTTTAAAATTTTTTTTAAAAATTTTCTGGATAGAACGAAAAGTGTGGTGGTGCTTAGGCTTTTCTTGAAAAAATTTTACAAAATATTTCACATCTCATAGTGAAAATATCAATAGTGAAAATACATTGCGTCGAAACGAGCTGATTTACATAAACTCTATTCTAATTCTATAATTTCTGATTTCAACTATGATCCTCCAAATCAGCACATCCCCTCAATAAATTTTCACATATATACTTCGAAAACTCGTAAAACTCGTTATACAATTTTTGTTGCACACGTTATGTCACAAAAAAAGAAAGGATTCTATTCTTCACTGATCCATGATCTTTATCGGGTTATATTCAGCCGCCATTTTTATATTATCATTATTTATTAATGCAGTTCAAGAGCGTCGAAACGATACTCTCAGTCTTTGAATACCACTATAATCTAAAGTACTATGTATAGTCATATTATATACACATATCCTATACATATACATTATATGTATTTTATGTATAATCATATATAATATACATATATATGTCGATCGTATATATGTATATGAACACGAATGCATATCGATACTCGTTCGATACACGTTTCCATTGGTACGAATACGAATCACTGGAGGCTTCCATCGAGGCTCTTGCTGCTATTTATCAAGCGCTTGCTATTATTTATAATACTCGATTCTAACTAGATCTCTATATGTATATACCTTAACGATCTTTTCATCTAGAGTCGAAAATGAGAGAAAAAAAAAAACTAGGATTAGTAACTATTTTATAAAAAAAAAAGCAAAAAAGTGAGTTATAGTTATATTGTCTAGTTAAAAATATATATATGTATATATATATATATACCTGAACGAATGATTTGATTTTTTTATTTCGAGAAAGCCTGTTTGGCTTCGATGATATTTAAACGTTATTAAAATTCTGATAAAAAGTTTGTAAATAATTTACAAATTTTAGACATAATCCCTGTCTTTGTATCCTCTTTATTATTATCTTCATTTTTTCGTGATACCTTTCTGCACCATTTAAAATATAAAAAAATAAGGAATTTGATAAATAAATAAAGAAATAAATTAATTAATTAATTAATCATACCCAATCATCAATTATTAAATAATGCCTATAATATAAATAACACCGAAATATGACTAAAAAAGTATCTATTATACTTTTAAATTAAAAAATAAAGGTGAACGTATAAAACACTCTTAAACTACATACCTACATACGCAAAGCATGATCGAGCAAAAGCAACGAATAAAAATCAATATTGACTAGCTCGAAATATCATTCACCATTTGAGCATGATCCAGACTCTCGTTGCACACCTATTAAATTCAATTCCAGAAAAGGATCTTCTATTATTTATTGCTCGCCACGTAACGTCCGCCATGATGAAAAACGACTATTTTCATCTTTAACTCTAGGAAATTACAGTTTCTTTTTCTTTTTTTTTTTTTTTTCTTTTTATCTTTTTTTCCTTTATACTTACGATTTAGCTAGTATCGTTACACAATGACAATGGTGATAATAATAATAATAATAATAATAATAATAATAATAATAATAATAATAATACAAATAATAATAATGATAATGATAATGATAATGATAATAGTAATAGTAATTAATGTCTTTCTTTTTATAATACAATTGTGATGAGTCGTGTAGCGTGGATGATGATTCGATGATAAATTTTTATCCTCGAAATATAGAGTCCCTGAGCGACGATGGGTTTTTAAGTGGATTTACAAATTTTCGATGGCTCGCGATCGAAAGGAGGATCCGATGATGATTGGCCGGCACGCGGGCCGATCCTCAAGCCGGATGCAACGTTCTTAACTGAGGGTGATGATGGCGGAGGTAAATGGAGAATGTGGCCAAGACGAAAATCAAGCTGAAAGAGTTCTTGCTCGACGCAGCGCCTGAATCCTCGTAATCGTCCTCCTCGTTTCCGCTCGTTTCTTTCCGGCCACGTAACTTCAGATCTGCAAAAAGGGATTGGCGTTATATATTCGTGCCGTTTTATTTATGGAAAACAGAATTTCAAATGGAGAAAAAGATTTGACGAATTATTAAGGGTTAAGATAGATATTTCGAGTATTCGTTCTTGACTCGATGATCGATCTTTTCCAGTTCGTCGTTCGTCAATTTTTCAGGATTGAGAACAGTATCTTTGGAATGTCAAGTTTTCGAGATTCATTTTTGATACGATGAATGATTTTTTTTTTTTAAGATCGGTTTTTTTTAGCCCTTTTTATTAAAAATTTTTTATTAAATGGACTCTTTTTTATTAAAAATTTATGCAGAATCACTGAGAATTAATATTTTTTGTTAATATTTATTGTTAAGATCGAGCAATTTTATCTTTTTGATATTGTATCTTATAATTATTTACCTCTTTCTTTCAACATATCTTGATTCCCTTCGAAAATATCGTTTCCCGAATTATGCCTCAGTTTACCTGCAACAAAATTAAATTCACTCTCTTCACTATCTCTTTAAATCTATATTTTATTCGTTTCTTTTTTTAGATAAAGGGGGGAATTTTATTTTTCTAGATAAAAGGAGAGAGTCGTGGACTTTTATCCCGTTCTTTTTTTTTTTTTTTCTTTTTTTTCTTTGCGAGCGAAGAATGCGGGACGAGGGTTGACGTTAAATACGAATGAAAATGGAAAAATGCGGTTGTGCTTTTCATCGCAAATAGAAAAACCGATCGGACGTTTTGTCGAAGTTGAATCTAAGTACGTTTGACTTCGTGAAAAATGCGCCTTAGGATCGTTGTTGTATTTCCTCGAGTAATGAGGAAGGAGGGAGCAACTTAAGAACATGGGAGCCCTGTTGAAAAATGTATAACGTATAACGTAGTAAATTGTCGCCACGATCGAGGAATAATTGACACGTTTCCCCCGATAGATATTGATAAAAAGATTCGAGAAAATTCAATTCTACGCGAGAGCATGGAAATAAAATACCTGCTCGCAAGATTTAAACGAAAATTCGAAAGAAAATCAATTTAAATAAAATTAATATCGAAACGAGGAACCTGAACAAAAATTTGAACAAAAATTCGAATAAAATAAGATTTTTATTTGGAGAGCGATCTATTTCTTCGCAAGATGCAATGGAATCATATATAATCACGGTTCAAGCAATTCCAGGAGATAAAAAGATTCGAGAAAATCCAAAGGAAATCAATTTAAAATTAATATCAAAACGAGGAATCTGAACAAAAATTTGAACAAAAGTTCGAATAAAATAAGATATTTACCTAAGAAACGATCTATTTCTTCGCAAGATGGATATAATTACGATTCAAGCAACTCCAGAAGATAAAAAGATTCGAGAAAAAGGAAATAAATTTAAATTAATATTAAAACGAGGAATTTGAACAAAAATTTGAACAAAGGTTCAAATAAAATAAAATGTTTATTTGGAGAGCGATCTATTTCTTCGCAAAATGCAATGGAATCATATATAATCACGGTTCAAGCAATTCCAGGAGATAAAAAGATCCGAGAAAATCCAAGGGAGATTAATTTAAATTAATATTAAAACGAGGAACTTGAACAAAAATTTGAACAAAAGTTCGAATAAAATAAGATATTTACCTAAGAAACGATCTATTTCTTCGCAAGATGGATATAATTACGATTCAAGCAACTCCAGAAGATAAAAAGATTCGAGAAAAAGGAAATCAATTTAAATTAATATTAAAACTTGAACAAAAATTCGAATAAAATAAAATGTTTACTTAGATCTTACTTGGATTTCTTCGCAAGATGCAATGGAATCGTATATAATTACGGTTCAAGCAATTCCAGAAGATAATTAAAAGTTTGGTTTAGCCATTGAATATTTAACCCACGTGGCCCGCAATCTCGTGATTTTGTTCGTTAGTAATACCGTGATATTTGCTCTAAATCCCGTGGCGGAGGGTACTCGTGCAGAGAAGAGCGGGCAGAGTTCAATAAAGTTGACCTATGGCCCGAAACGGCTCTATAAATCTTCCATCGAACGCAACGTCGCCTCTCAATCTGTTAGCATCAAAATATTTTGCATATATCGATTTCGGACCTTTCGACTGAATACACGCAAAATGCGGCTGGACACTGAGCCAATAATAAATCCAGGATTTTTCATTACGGTAGGAGAGGGGGAGAGGAGGGGTGTGAAAGGGAGGGAGGGATAAAATGTCCCCCTTATTAAGAAATAACGTAATTAAACATATGAATCGAAATCGATCGTTGAAATTAATAAAGATATCGATATTGAAATCCATATGCATGACATATCCTCTGCGATACCAGTCGTTTTTCTTTTTTTTTTTTTCTTTTTTTTTTTTTTTTCCACCAGATTAATCATTCGAATATTCATTTAATTCGTGCGCGATTTTAATAAACGTTAGTGGGCAAGCTTAGAACACGATTAAATTTGAAAAGAAATAAAGTGTAAAGTATATTTGTTTTCATTTAAAAATAATTTTTAATCTTTCCTTTTCGGGATTAAATTCGAACGGGGAAGAGAAGAAATTTTGAAATGAAATTTTTCACATATGGTGGAAATGGAATAGAAGAAAACTTTCAGTTAATTAAAAATGACGCGAAAATATATTTGCAAAATACTTTGTAAAAATGTAAAAATATATATACATATTATAATTAAATATATTATAAACACGTATACGAGTTTTCAACAACAAAGTATTTCGCGGTATACTCATATTGCCACGTACGAGAAAGTATTTTCGAGGATTCCGTTAAGCGTGTCGTATACTCGTACGACGAGAAAATTAATAAATTCTTAATTATATTAAAACTTATCACCACTTATTACTATGCATATCGTACATAAACTCGATTAGATAAATTAGGCGATAATTTCATAATAAATGCGCTTTATTAGTTAAATTATCCGTTAATAAATTCATACATCGATCTAGAGATAACGGATCACAAGTCGAATATTAATTAGGAAGAACAATTATCTACCTACCTTTCGCTTCCTCCTTGATTATAATATATCAAACGTGGTTAAGGATACTTGAGCATAAACCGAATTACAAATGATCTAGTGCGGTATATAAGATTATGAAAATGAAGAAATCCTTCTATTGTTCATTTTTCAAAGAGGATCCTTGAGAAAATGTAAATGTGGTATAAATGAAAAGAAGCTTCGTAGGGAACTGGTTCAAAAGGAAAGAAGATAATAGACATAAAGGTATATCGGATGATATAGTGGGGAATGGTAGCTGGTAAAAACAAATCTGAAAGGAAGAAAGAAGAAAAAAAAAAGGATGACGAAATCTGATATAACTGCATAAAGCATATAATAATTGAAGATACTTTGATTAAACATTTATATGTAATATGTAACATAAGTAAATTTGTAAGTCAATATTTGGAAAAAATTATATTTGTAATTAAAATATATTTTTATGAAAAATACGTCTTTGCTTTAAGTTTTTTTTTAGAAATCGTCTTTTCCTTTCATATTGAATTTTTTATATTTTAATGGAGGATAGCTTAGAAATAGCTTACATGTAACGAAATGAAAGTTAAAAAAAATTCCTTAATTTAGAATATTTTACCTAAAATTTTTCTTAAGAATGTCCTCTTTTAAATATTCGAATATATAACGAAATAATACAGTCTTGAAATAAAAAAAATATCCCTTGGTAGCTAAAAAAAAGGTGGCAGGATTGGAAAAATCGCGAATAATTTCAAAGATCGACGAAAAAACGAAGAACTATTTATGAAAAAACGTTTAAACATTTATTTCGCGTTCTCTTTCACGTTTCGTATTATTTCGAAATTTATATTTTAACATTTTCTTGATCCTAAAAATATTTTGCGTGCAATATTAAAGGATATAATAAATAAATAAATAAAGAAAAACAAGATATTTCACAGCACTACGATCGAAAAATTAACGAAGCTAAATAATAAATGGTGCGATAATAATTTATAATTCTTTTTTGACAGTGTATCGAACTTGATTCCGGAAGAATTTTCCGAAATATTTGTATTTGCGCGTGTGTTCATTCAGAAACAAACAAACGTGGAAGTTGTGCAAAAGCCTGGCGTTTTCCCTTCCTGCAGGGAAAAAGGGGTTTGATGAACAAGGTGTAAGTTCAAAATGGCATTCAACCGTGGGCTTTTTACGGAGGCGTTCTTCTAAACGTCTAGGCTCCTCTCTGAAACGGGGGCCTCTATCGACTTTTGTGCGTCTTTTTCGCAACCGGCTGCCTGTCGAAAGCAAATGAGATGGTGGGCTTGTAAATCTGACACGGCGGTTCCTATTCATTCACGATTTCACACAGAAATGGTTCCTCGTCTCGGGCTTGAAAAACGAGCGTCGCGATCGTGTTCAACGATGGACTGTCCTTGGAAAGGCATTAAAACAGTTTGGGAGAGGGGGACAGGTGTGTGTATGTGTGTGTGTGTGTGTGTATATATATATATAGGAATACCCTATGAATTTCAAACGTACCGGTTTTGTCAACGCTCCTGCGTATTTTTCGCATTACACTCGACACAGACAACTGGATAATGGAAATTTTTATATTTGAAGTAATAAAAAGGAAAAAGAAAAAGAAAAGTTTAATATTGAAATTCTCCATTTTCCTTTTCTTATACTCCAAACAATTTTTTCATAGTCAATTCCAAGATATTTTTCTTCAACTAAATTTGATTTATTTTCCTTGGAAATGGCTTTATTATACGAAAAATATTATAATATCCTTTTTCGAATCACTCCAAGAGATAATTTTTTTTTAATCAATTTTTAGATATTTTTTCCTTACTTCTATTAAAAAAAAAAAAAAAAAAAAAGAANAAAAAAAAAAAAAAAAAAAAGAATCATAGAAATTTGTAAAAAATTTACTCTTCCATTTTCTTCGAGATAAAATATTCGTAGAAATATTACGTTACTCTTAAATCAAAGGGAAGGGAAATTCATCCCTATCTGCCCCTCTCTCTCTCCTCTCCTCTCCTCTCGTTCAAATGTTACAAGGGTATTTATTTGAAACGAGATACGTCTATCTGTAAATTTGCGCTTTTGTAGCTTTAAAACAAACAATAGGGTGGAGAAACCGCGGAGAGGAAAAACGACGAGAGGTGCAGTGATAGAGTGACCGAACGATATTGTGGGATTTTGTCCTTCGATAGCCTTAAGCGGCCAATTCAATTTACACAGAGGAGATACGTACGTAAACCGGTGGACGTACGTTTTGTATGGCCTCGAAGGATACCGACAACGAAGTATGCCAGCGGTTAACAAAATCGATATTGAAGGTGATGCTGGTAGCTGGTGGCGTGCATGCCCAATGGATATAAAAAGTGTCGATTTGTTTGCCAGAAATCGACAAAGCTTAGTAACGCGATTGCTAACTGGCTAAAAAAAAAAAAAAAAAAGTTGCGCGCTCGTATATCCACCCCCACCTCCCCCCCTCTTTCGTCTAGTATCCGCGTAGAGATAGAGGGATATCGTATCGCGAAAATATCTTTTTTTTTTTTCTTTTTGACATTTAAAAACAATTCGAAACGATGATACGATTCTTCGCTCTGCTGCGAAATGATCTGCCCCTTTAATTATTATTTCTGTAAAATCAAAGAAGACGCGTGTATTACGATCTCGTTCTAGGAATTTTTTTTTTCCAACCAGATGATAGAGAAAATTTGTTTAAATTTAAAACTCCGCTCTATTCGATGTATCCGTCGGACGAATGTAATTACATTTGAAGAAGCTTCGCGCTCGGGATCGCCAAGATGGTTAAAAAATAAAAAGAAAAAGAAAAAAAGATTCGTTCGTTAACGTTTCATCGGGGGAAAAAAGAAAGATAATATGACGGGATACTACTTTGGCGAGGCGGTGAGCGTATCAAAGAAGAATTCCATTATGATAAAACGAAAACTGTAGAAACGCGAGGAAACAATGGAAAACATTCGTTAAAATTCTCGCTCGCTATAAAAATTCATAGGGGAAGTTGGCGACATCCGGACGAGGAGGTGCCCGTTGATAAAAATGCATTTATACAAAAAGTTATATTGGCATTCCATCGAATGGAGCTGTCAGTGTGCATTTAACATTGCGCGAGTAAAATACCAACATCGATTCCCTTTGATATCTTCGTTCTTCCGTAAACATTCGATCAACGTCAAATATAGTAAAGGGGAAAAAGGAGAGAGAGAGAGAGAGAGAGAGAGAAAGGAAAAAAGAAAAAAACGAAAAAAAAAGACAAAAGAGAAAAGAGAGAACTTAATCGAGTTAAAGCTCATCATTTTGTAAAAAAAAAAAAAAACAGAAAGAAAGAGAACGTTACAAGTGAAGCGAAGCGCCAATAATGACCAAGTTCGATCAATTTCCGGTTGCTTATCAACTTACGAACAAAACTAACTCCTCGCCGTTTCGACTTCGAATCGCGCGTTAACCCTTCCCCCCTCGATGCATCGTGGGAAGAGGCGATTTTATTCTCGAAAATGACGCGAAAGCGATTATCCAAGACAGAGCTTTCCAAATAAGCTTCGACGAGGGGAGGGGAGGGGGTTTGGAGGGAGAGTTGTCGTGGATGCGCGATACGCGAAAAGGGAAGGCTCGTCTTTTGTAGAAATTATCCGAGGATGTACACAGTTGGAGTGGATTGGCATGCACAAATGCCTCGACACTCGATCTAATTAATCAGCGACCCGTTATTTCATGCGGCAAGTGGCTCACGCCGCATCGTTCGGCAAGTAGCACTCGGCTCACAAAGGGGGCGGGCGGACGTGTCGTCCTATTCCTCGCGCCTCGTCAAATGAAAAGATAGAAACACAGCGCGCGGCCAAGTGATCTGAAACGATGGAATATAGCGAGAACAACAGGTTTTGGGGTTAATTCGTTTTCCTTTTCCCCATCGTGGTGGAAATTTTTTATTTAATTTCGAAGGGGTGTCGAAGGAGGGGAGAGGGTAGCTCGTCGATCAAGGGATCTTTTTCGAAGTTGTAAAAATTTTTTGCCTCGCAAAAGATTGTGAAAATTGATCGAGGTTTTAATCGTTGGGACGATGGTAGTAAGAGATTCCGGTTTCGGTTTCAAATCGATTTCGTAATTGTATTTGAAACCACTAATGCATTAACATCGCTACAAATTGATTCAATTCCCTAACCTGCTATTTGGATTACTGATAATTTGTTCTCGATTTAAAGGCTTGTTTGTATGTATGTGTACATACATACATGCGCATTAATAGCGTTTGGTTTAATGCTAGGCAATAGATTGGATAATTAATAAATAAAGAATTTATAGGGGCGGTGTTCATTGACATATCGAGCAAAATTTCATTTTCTGCTTAATCGAACCGGATTATATACCTTTTATCGAATAAATTTTATATCCGAAAATATTTTTCTTCGGATATTTATTTCGCAAAAAAAAAAAAAAAAAAAGAAAAAAATTAAACGTCTCTCTTATTCCCATTACATAGGAAAAGTAATTTTCGTGATAAATAAATTCGAACTTACCTTTGTATCTTGTCGTACTTCCCGTAGAATTCGAGGACGCGATTGCTGAAATACACAAATCGTGTGATAATTTATTTCATTGAACGTAAAATTATATAAATAAAACAATTTTGAAGTTAGAAGTTATTAAACGCTTTTACGAAAGCTTAGGAAGCTTCATCCGTGTTCTAACTTTCCAAAGATTTTAACTCCTTGTTACTCCTAGTATTATGACTGGAAGTTTACACGCGCAAACACTTCACTTTAATGCAACATAGTTCTCGGAACTGTTAAACGATAAAATAAGTCATAATAGAATTATTTTACGATTAGTTTTATTTATGTACAATGCTCTATAATTTCCTTTCGCGAATCTTGCGATTCTGATAATTCTGATTGAAAAGTAATTACTACTAGAAGAAAATTTCTGTACTGTTTTATATTGAAATTTTAATACGAACGAATTATTTAAATTATTTACTTACGATAAACTTTGATGGTGCCATCGGTGTCCCCCAATGCGTTTCTAGACACGCATTTGTACGATCCAAAATCTGACGGACCGACCGAATTTATCGTCAACTTCATGTGAACTTTGTACGCGTTGTCCACCAATGTGGGTTCGTATTTCCCCCCTGGAAATGCAAAAGTTGTTTAATCCAAGATTAAACAAAAAATTAATATTAAACAAACATTATTGAATTCTTAATCAAGCGAAGAAATCCCGGCTAATTCCCCGAAAAATGAAATTTTCTTTAATAATACATGTATCTTGTACAGCGATGCCAGATTTTTTAATAATTAAAATTTAGTGTATATCATCCATTTAAAGCGAAGCTGTATCGCCGTTTCACCGTCTAACGAATATTCCATCCTCGTTTGCGCAAGTTGTTTGGATGCAATTAAAATCGCCTTTAAAAAAAAAAAAAAAAAAAAATAGAAAAAAAGAAAAAAAAATATTATCCGTTCAAACGTTCTAAAGGAATATATTTATGAAAATAAAACATTTACGCGGATAACTCTGGGGAGTTCAATTCTTCGATTGCTGAATATTATATTGAAGATAAATTTATTCGACTCGCTAGCTATTTTCTATTGTTTATCACATCGAATATTCAAATATCAAATATATAAATAAATATCAAATTACAATACATAATAAATATCAAATTACAAATATTATCGAACGAGTTTAAACTTTAAACTTATTTTAATTTTTATTTCGAGATTCGGAATTAATCACGTTGATAATATTTTCGTAAAAAATGCTATTCTGGCCGATTTTATTTATCATTTATCATATTTTCCATTAAGAAAAAAGATAAAAAAGATAAAAAAGATAGAATAGATAATAATAACCCAAAAGAGAATGATGACCGATTTTTATCCGCTATATTACGTAACAATTTGCAACTGCAGATTTTTACACAAACGCTTCCCTTCCGTACTGCATACGTGTGTTGAATATTACTAAACAAATTTAATCATATTCTGAATAAACTCTTCCGGTTACGATATAATATTGAAAGTTGGAAAAATTCTGAATAGTTTGTCCGTGTAAAAAAAGCACGAAGAGTCCACCGATGCAATATCGAAGCAATATATTACACGATATCTCGTAAAAGGATTTCTTTTTTCCAATTTTTCCCCCTTTTCTTTCTTTATCAAAAATTCGCTAAAAACCTTATTATACAGATAATAATTTTAATAACATTTAATAAACGTAACATTTTATAAATATTTTATAAATATTCCACAATTCGACAGATGGACAACACGTTTAAATTACATCGTCTAAATTTTTTTTTTTTTTTTTCAATAAATAAATATCCCAGTCACGACGATTATCCTATCCACGAGATGATAAATATAAACTCTTTTCGTCCCGTTTCGAAACGATCGAAGAAATTCGAGCGTCTTTTCAAAAGCGAAAAACGCGTCACAATAGTTCAATCAGTTTGAAAGATGGCCCCGCTTGTTCACCGTACCCCCCTTATTTCGGTATTCGTCATGCATCTGCGCTAAGTTAACGTGATTTCTGTTTAGATCGACACCATTCAGAGACATTTCCGTTTCTACGACTCGTAAGATTCTATCGAACAAAATATATATATATATATGTGTATGTGTGTGTGTGTGTGTGTGTGTGTGTGTGTGCTTGCATTCTATGAAGGGTACGTGGATGCAAAGCGAAATAATGAAATGGAAGGAGTTGTGTGAAACGACGGAGGATGTCCATGAATCGGTTTTCGACACGATTCAGAAAACATTTCGCAACGGTTGAGAAAAATATGCGTTGAATAAATTTCGCGCGTTTGCACTGGACACCGGAATACTGGAATAGAGACGATGATGATAATGGATGCGTTTTTTTTACTTTGGTTATTTTTGCTCGAGGAGCAATTTGTTGCTAATTGTTATTTTGATTGAAATAGAAGATAATCTAATTCCGAAATTAAATCTCTCCATCGAATGTTTTGTAACGTGGTTTAGTTTATTTATGGAGAAAGAGATGTAATTCAATAATCCCGATCGATCCTTGAGCTTTTTACAATTCAATCACGATGATAATTGTATTTTGAACGATAGAAAATATTAATAAATCTCGAATTAAACCCCTAGTCTCATCTAGGTGAATTCTTCGTCGTATCTCGTAATATAATTTAAATTAACGTTAATTTAAACTTAACTTCAACTTATAGAATGATAACGTTTTCGAAAAATTCGTGAAGGATCCGAGATTTTATCGGGGGTTGATCTCGAGGGTTGATTAAATTTTTAGCCTTTTTTCGATTAAGAAAGAAAGAAATGACGAAAATACGACGCATACGATCGAAAGATCGATAGTGGGGAATTTTGCTGTAACCCGATTGCGGGATCAAAATTCGCATTGTACGTGCTATTATTGGTTTCGATACAGATGCAAATATGAACGAGGCTGGCGACGTAATAACGACAGGAGAAAAGGGCAAACCCTTCGTCGTTTCGGTCTTCATATACATACACACGCATCCTCGACTCTCCTCCTCATAAATGCCGGATAAAATCGCGTTATAGCTCTAACGTCCTGCTTCGATTCCCATGTATTATTCAAAAGCTAATTCTGTTCGAATAACCGAGCGAAAGGTAAATCTGACGAAACATTTGGCCCAGGCGCGTGATGTATCAATCAGATAAACGCACTAGGCAGTCGATTCGCTTCTTTGATCGGCCGTCCATCGTTCGATAAAAGGGAGATCCATTATATATATATATATCAAATCGCGAAGGAAATAATTGGAAATTCGATGCGCCAAATTTTAAAGTATTCCTCCGAATATTTCCTTCCTTTGACGAATTCACTCATCAACTCGTGCGGCAACAGATAGCAAATCTCGAGACACGTAAAATAGAAATAAATAGAATTATTCGTCTACTGCAAAATCAAAAAAATCTCGTGATCTTCACGAGATACTTAAGGCCAGAAAAAAAAAGAATTTTATTACAACAAAGCGGTTTTCAAGGGTGGAGGGAAAGGACGAGTGGTCGCAAGGGTGTTGTCAACTCGCCGCCAAAGTGGTAATTGAAAGGAAATAAATTCGAGAGTGGGAGGAGGGGGGAGGGGGTCGGAGGTACACTGCGAGCCGGGCACACGTCGAAATGGATTTGACGCGAGCCACTAAACGGGCAGAGATCGCGATACGGTGAAAATACGGCGAGGATCTGAAAGGAAGGGTGGATCGATGGAAAGAGTACTAAAGCTGGCTTTTATAGGGGGCGAGCATAAAGCGCGGGGTTGAACGTTTATACATACCGCCTTGTACCCGTGTTTATGCGTTTGGCATGGAGCTTTCGTTATTCAAAGAGCTCGTTACTCTTCCTCCTTGGGGATAGGGGCATGTGCAACAAGAGAACGCATCGTGCCCGTGTAATTATACCTTTGGAAAGGTTAGGATCGATCCAGGAAGAGGAACGGTTCAATGGTCGATACAGAGGCCGGGGCTCACGGTGACGACCGGCTAGTTTTCGCGTAGATCGCGTGGATTCGCTCTACTCGTTCGCTCGAAATGAGGGTGGAATTTTACTTGGAAAAGAAACGAAAGGATTCCGTTAAGAATTTCTTCTTTTTTTTCTTTCTATAATTATGGAAAGAGATCGTAGATTATTTAGGTTACTCGAAAAGTGGAAAGATAGGTAGGATAGAGAAGAAGAATAGGGAAGAGAAGAAGGATGGAATTCATCTCCCCGTGGAGATTCACTCAACTTGTGGCTACTGACTTGAGATAGAATTTAAAGTAATTCGAGAAATGAAAAGGTACTAAATAAGAAAAATTTTAACCAAAGATAGAAATTTCTCTTCTACTAAAAATATTTTTTTGATATAATTAATATAATGAAAAGTGATTTTGGGTTATTTTGAAAAATAAGAAAAAATGCTAAAAATACGAAATTTTAATTAAAGAGGATAGAATTCGTCTCTTCGATCTATTAAATATATTTTTTTACATACGCATACTTTATGAAGAGTTGTTGTATTTGGATATTTTATAAAAGGGATCATGGTCTCGAAGAAGGTTGAGAAGCACTGGTATGAGTAATTACTATGTACGCAAGGAAAGAAAACAGTGGAATCATTGTTTTAACCTACCTTGCGGAACTATTTCGTCCTTATCCCTTGTCCAATAATTGATGGATTTGGGATAAGCCTCTGAGAGGCACTCGAGAGTCAACTGTTGTCCCTCCTGGGCGCCCACCAATTGATTCTGCACCCAAATCATGGGCGGAACTGAAAAGAAGAAAAACAAATTTTCCGTGCCGAGTGAATAAATATTTTCCTTTCCTTGCCTCTTACTTTAACTTTTGCATTTTATTATTACCGAATAATAATAAGAATTGAAGATAAAAATATTCTAAAAGTAATTAGTTAAAAATCTCGTTGCAAAGCGACGATTAAATTTTCCTCGTCACATTTTGCCACTTACATTGGACGGTGAGCATGATTCTTTTGCTGACCGATGGTGGCACTCCGTTGGTCGCGATGCAAAGGTAGAAACCCATGTGCGATCGATCGACCTTCGATATATTGAAATTTGGCCCCTCCACAGAGATAACTGAAAGAATGAATTTCATGTATATGATATAATTATAATATAATTCAACGATTCAAATTAAAAAAAGAAGAAAAATAGCTTTATTAGAAGCGATTTTCTTCAAATTAAAAAATAAATAATATAATTATCTCTCGTTGGATATTAATATTACCATACAGTATTTTAAACAGATTTATACATTTAAAAATTGCTCGTTGAATGTACGTTTCCCCCCTCCTCCTTCGCCCGCTCTCCTTCTGTTTTCATTTTTCCCGGAAGTTTCGATGAAGTTACACTTTCAGACAGTTTGGTATACGAGAGTGAAGTTTTTGAAATGGGCCCGAACAACTTTTTCACCAGTCGGTATATTTGCCGCCACCGGTATATCCGCAATACGATGAAAACTGCGTCGAAATTTCCCCCCTCCCCCCTCCCCCTCCCCTACCCCTCTATAATTTGTTTTGGAAAGTAATCAAAAGCATAGCTGAGTTCACAAATTTTTCTCTCCAGTTTTTTTTTTTTTTCTACGTAATTTTTAAAATTCGCAATTTTTATTTTATTCTTCAGAATGCATTAAATTGTATCCCGAAAACGCTACGAAATGATTTTACACGCATAACAATTTTCTATTTCAATTTGCGTGTTTTACCAAATCTATATAAAAATATAAACCGCCGAATTTTTTTTTTTTTTTTTTTTTTTTTTTCTAGAAATTGTTTCTGAAAACAAACTCGCAAATATTTCATTATTTCAATATTGTTGAAATTGAAAAAGAAAATTATTATTATTATTATTATTATTTTTCCAAGCCTTTACCGTAAAATAAAATCCCATATAAAAAAATCCTTTTGCAACGATCCTTTTTATCTTATTGTCGCGGCTCAATAAAGAATCGCGTCGAGACATCGGCCATGCTGTTCTTTAGCGTCGAAGTTAGTTTGAACAGCTGTTACTGGAAAATGAAATTTTTCGTCTATACGGTCAAAGAGGTGAACGGAAATTTACAGGAAACAGACACAAACCGAGTAACAGTAGTTTTGATGTTGTCTTCTCTCTACCTGCAGGATGGCAAATTTAGTTTACTTATCCGAAAGTCGAGGCAGTCTACGACCGTCCGTTAACCACAATTAAATCCGGTGGAATATTTGCGCCCTGTTAACAAACTGAACGATGTCAAATACGAAAGAACCGAGCGAAATCTAACGAGTGAACCAGTTGCTCCCGCCCTCCCTCCCCATTCCGCCGCCCCTTCATTACTTTTCTTACAGAACAAAACGCAATTAACGAGCCACGCAGTTTACGCTTTTGAAATAGTTTCGCCGTTGAACACGAGGCGTGTTTCTTTCGAATTTTTTTTTTTTTTTTTTTGAATTTGGCAATATGTGAACGGAACGGAGAAGAATTCGAGCTTCGGATGAGATTCGATTAAAAATTACGAAATATTTTTGCTTATTTTTTTTTGTATTTTTATTTTTATCCCAGAACGGATTTTTATTTTTGTTTTTGTTTTTTTTTTTTTTTAAATCCAAAAATGTGCGATATCGATAAAGGGAAAAGGCCTTGTCGCCGTAGGATTGATAAAAATATTTGTTCGAAAAATCTTTTACAAGTTTTTCCCCCTCCCTCCCTTCGGACGTTGTGGTAAAAGTAAAGTGAAAGTTACAAAGTAAATAAGGGAGAATTAAAATTATTTTCGTTGAATGGAAAAGTTCGTAAAAAGCGCGTTACAACTTCTTTGAAAAGGATTAAAGAGAAAAAAAAAAAAAAAGGAAAAAAGAGGAATATTTTATAATTTCAGATAAAATTGAAAAAAGATTAAAATAGAGATTAAACACGAAATATGCGTGAAATATGCGGGAAAAGAAACGATGTCGTAAAAATTGAACGATACCGTGAAAAAGAAATCGAATTAATTTACATCGATTTCGATTAAATTTTAATATTAAAATTTCAGTCTTCCACTTACGACTTTGCCCGTGCAAGAGGCAAACGACGAATGAAACGAAATCGGTCGAATTCGTAAATCGAAACGACTTTGAACACAATAACACTAATTTAATAGATTTCCACGCGAATAACGCGAATAATAAATAAACTCGATTTCAATGATAAAAGTTTCGGGCAAAATTTTGAAATTTTGAAATAAATATATTGCAAAGGCTTCGAGTATATATAGTTTCACAAATAATAATGGCTTCCTTTTGTGACGCATCTATCACCTCCATAAAATACAAACATTTCAGTTTGTCTCGTCGTTTCGACCCAGTTTTTCCCTATATTCTAACTAACTTCTCTATATTCAAACTAAATGATACCAACTAACATTCGTAACAAACAACGTATCGTAAAACGATCCACCGCATTTTATTTATCTTATTTTCGAAAACTTATAGAAAACTAATTCCCTAAATTCTCTTTCAGAAAGATTCGTTATAACAGATGTATTTGCCTTATTTTTCGAACTTAAACGTAGAACAGAATCACTGCAAAGATTCGTTGTAAAAGCTCGATGACAAGAAAAGTTCGATGCCTCGATTGATAATCCGAAAAACGGCTCGCGAAAAGTGAAATTGCCTTATCGTGCGTTTAAGTAAACAACAGTCGTAATTTGTTTCATTTCGGTGGAACGAAGCACCCTGCTGCAACCGTACGCTGAATTCGGTACGCACAGTGTTTGCCAATTTCAATGCAAATATAGCAGATCTTCCCTACCTGTGCAAACGTATCACCCACCTCTAACCTATTGGCCTTGCTCGAACACGCTGTGTTTGCGCTCCCCCGAGACTACAAGACTCGGTTACACCATCCGCAAATCCGGCGGTTATGCTTCCACGATTTAACGCCCGCGCTTCAAAAATCTTAAATTCGCTTAAATGTAGATTGTCGAAACGGCGACGATCGAGACGACGCCACCTGTGTCGCGTGTATCACTTTGTCCATGTCTTTCGACGTTTCCAACAATTCGAGAAGTGGATATCGCGTCGATTAAAAAAGTTTAATTGGATTATGAACTTTTATATCGAGTGTATATATATATAAAGAACGATGAGGATCGTAATTTCATCATTGTAAGTTGTTACATCACGAGCATCGAGTAACATTACATCCAAGTTTTCTACGCAATGCAACGTGTTGTCTGGAATTTTTTCTTTTTTTTAAGTATTCCAATAAAAGCGAAAAATATAAAAGATTAAAACCAAAGTGACGTTCAAATGTATCCGTGCATCCGTGTTTGAGAGAGTTTGAAATCGTGTCGATTAAAAAAAAAAAATAAAAATAAAAAGGATTCGTTGGGATTCGATTCCAACTTTTTAACTACCCGAGTACCGAGAGTAAAGAAGATACAAAAATGAAAAGTGGATATAAACTTGGATGAGGATTGAAACTGACCATTCGTCCCGTTTCCCAGGAGTATCGACTTGTTATCCTCGCGCCGCCACATGATGTTTGGCGCCGGTGATCCTGTCGCTTCGCAGTGTAAAGTCACTTTACTGTTTTCCGGCACCACCATGTCGGTGCTGGTTGGGTAGTCCAGAATATTCGGCGGAACTGTACAACAATCAATATGGAGAAAACGGTTATTATTCGTACATCTTTTATTTATTTAATCGTCTTTTATCTTATCCAATTAATACAAACGGTATTCGAAAAATAATTGAACCCGAAGCGAAAGAAAAAGGGCTGATTAAAATCATCCCTGTGAATATTCTTCTATATACCCTGTTCCCTGTTCGGAGGAACAGTGTGGGAAATCGTCGTCGTCGTCGTCCCTTTGATACTCCACAACAAAGAGGATCGGAATTTCGGTCAAAGAATAAACACAAGAGGCTGGCTCCTTTTGAATATTCGCGCCATTCAAACCGACACATCCTTTTTAAAAATTACCCACGTCTGAGACGTGGAGAAAGCAGCAGAGAGGGGATCCACCCCTTTTGTCTCGTAATTTACTAACGCCACCTTAGTAAATTTCAACCACTCGTAAATTATTCGCTATAATAATAATTCTAAGCCATCCTGATTCGCGTTACACGCCTGCATCTTTGTTGGGAGCAGACATTGTGTTACAGGCGCACGTTTGATATCATCCACCAGAGCTCGGCTTTCCAACCCTTCCCCCGTATTGTACGTTTCTATCATCCCTTTCTCTCTCTCTCTCTCTCTCTCTCTCTCTCTCTCTCTGTTTTTCTGTTTCTCTTTTTCTCTCTGCAACGAGGTCAGCAACGAGGTGTTTTGTGGAAATAAAATTGCAAACCTGTTTTCAGTTTACGAAGCATAAATTCAGATTTATCTGTAGGGATGATCTGTTACGGCGGATCATAAACATCCGTGGCTACGTGATTTGTTGCGCGATATTGGCCGGTGTGTATTGTTACTAGCGAGTTTAACATTATCCCATTAACGGCAAAAAGGGGCCTGATCGATAATATCGTCGATATCTGATAAATAATCGCGATATTGTTGATCGTGCGTGTAGATTGAAAAAATAAATAAATAATCCCGAGACTGCAAAATTATTTTATAATATTGTACCGTTTTTTAATATCTCTTCTCTAATTTTATTTAACGAAATATACACGGAGAATATATATTTTCAACGTTTCAAAACGTTTCGAATATAAGAACAGAAATATGATTATTAATTGAATTCGCGATTAGAAAAAAATAAATAAATAATCTTGAGATTGCAAAATTATTTTATAATATTGTACCGTTTTTTAATATCTCTTCTCTAACGAATTTAACGAAATATACACGGAGAATATATATTTTCAACGTTTCAAAACGTTTCGAATATAAGAACAGAAATATGATTATTAATTGAATTCGCGGTTAGAAAAACGTTTGTTCAATTTCGTTTTGAAATTTTACAATCTATCTGGCATGAGCATCGTGCGAGAAAAATGAACTTCTCCGCGTTTATCGGTGAATTAGCCAGCCGACGTGTGCCATCCGACGTGTGGCGCATTGGGTCATGCGTGACGCTTCGCGGGGGACGGGAAGCCCCCGCGCCTCTTCTCGCGTGACCACGCGTGTTTGCATTTTAAACCGGGAGAATTATCAATTAATAACGCGGGTTTCTTTCAACGACGAGGGCCCACGTGGTGCGAAAATTGCGAAACGCCTTCTTTAACTTATCCGTAATCTCCGCGCGATCAAAACACGAGCGGAGATTTATTTGACGTTGATACGACGGGGGAACGAAGAAGGGAGACGATCGTGTCGAGGCACGAGCTGGATAGATTATGACGTTACAAATTCGGAGGAGAAGTTTGGAGGAAATCTGTATATCGTGCGTCTATGTTTATGGTAAAACTCGCTAGAAATTTTATCTCGAGAGTGTGTTTCTCGCGCGTGGACGTTGAAGAAATGGTTTCTCGTAAGATTAATTTGTAGAATAGGGCATTTTAGAAGGAATAGGGTTGTCCAATATCGGTTTAGAACAAAAATTAATCTCTGACGATTTGTATTAGTATTATTCTTTATTCTTCGATTTCAACGTTGAATTCACACAATAAAGGGATGCTTTTATTTTATTTGCCAGATTTTATTTTAGAAGTGTATTTTAATATGGTCGATTCTCCAAATATCTCTTTATAGAAAAAGATATAATAGTAGATACACGAAGCAACAGTTGAGTTCAATATTTTTCGTGAACTTTGAATATTCTGATTTATTATATCCTTCATATTAAGTTCATTTTATTGCTATCTAAATATATTGCATCTCCATTTGAAGATTCAATAAAGATCTTGACATTTATCAGTCGATATTTGCTTTCTGACAGAAAACTTTATTATAAAAGTGTATTTTAATGGTCGATTCTTTAAATATCTCCTTTAGAGAAAAAGTAGACACTATAATGAAACAGTTGAGTTCAACATTCTTCGTGAACTTTGAACATCCAATCTAATTTATCATCTTCCATAATCAGCTTACTTTACTTTTAAATATTACATTTCCATTCGAAGATTCAATAAAGATCTTGGCATTTCCATCCCATTTGTAAATCTTTCTCAATTATTTATCAATCGATATCTTTCTGGCAGAAAACTTTATAATAACAGTGTACTTTAATGGTTGAAAAGTGGTTGATTCTCTAAATATCTCTTTAGAGAAAAAGTAGATATAATAGTAGATACACGAAGCAACAGATGAGTTCAACATTCTTCGTGAACTTTGAACATTCTAATTCGTTATCCTCTATAATACTCTCACTTTGCTTCTATGTAAAAGATATTGCATCTCCACTCGATAAAGATTCGACAAAGATCTCCATCTCGTTTATATAAATCCTCCCCAATCATCGATATCTATATTTATTAATCGATATCTATTTTTTAAAAGCAGAAAATTTTATTGTATATTTTATTGTAGAAGTATATTTTAATGATCGATTCTTTAAATATCTCCTTAAAGAAAAAAATAGACACAATAGCAAAGCAACAGTTGAGCTCAACATTCTTCGTGAACATAATAATCTCACTTTGCTTCTATCTAAATATATTGCATCTCCACTCGAAGATTTAATAAAGATCTTAGCATTTTCATCTCATAAATCCTTTTCAATCATTTATCAGTCGATATCTATTTTTTAAAAGCAGAAAATTTTATAATAAAAGTGTACTTTAATGGTTGAAAAGTGGTCGATTCTCTAAATATCTCTTTAGAGAAAAAGTAGATATAATAATAGATACACGAAGCAACAGATGAGCTCAACATTCTTCGTGAACTTTGAACATTCTAATTCGTTATCCTCCATAATACTCTCACTTTTATTAAAAAGATATTGCATCTCCACTCGAAGATTTAATAAAGATCTTAGCATTTTCATCTCATAAATCCTTTTCAATCATTTATCAGTCGATATCTATTTTTTAAAAGCAAAAAACTTTATAATAAAAGTGTACTTTAATGGTTGAAAAGTGGTTGATTCTCTAAATATCTCTTTAGAGAAAAAGTAGATATAATAATGATACACGAAGCAACAGATATAATAGTAGATTTCATTTATATAAATCCTCCCCAATCGATATCTATCATATTTATCAATCGATATCTACTTTTTAAAAGTAGAAAACTTTATAATAGAAGTGTATAATAGAAGTGTTTTAATAGTTGAAAAGTAGTCGATTCTCTAAATATCTCTTTAGAGATATAATAGTAGATACACGAAGCAACAGATGAGCTCAACATTCTTCGTGAACTTTGAACATTCTAATTATCCTCCATAATACTCTCACTTTGCTTCTATCTAAAAGATATTGCATCTTCATCTCGACAAAGATTCGACGAAGATCTCCATCGTCTCGTTTATATAAATCCTCCCCTATCGATCGGTATCTGCTCTCTGTTATCACGTTATCGTCTGTCACATAAGCATAAGCGTCGAAAAAGCGAGGGGCGAGCGGACGAGAGAATTCGTAAAATGACAAACGGTGAAATCAATCGGTGCTCCATTCGGTGGCCGGAAATTCGCGTTCGCGTGTACATACAGGCCACTGTCCCTGGTATTTTCGAGGCGATAAATCCATCCCTCTCTCGTTCCCATTCCGCTTACGGGGCGAGTTTCACCGGTTGTCGTAACACTTAACGCAACAATAACGTGTCTCCCCCTCCCCCAACCCCCAAGTTACACCCTCGACACGGCTAAGTATATCTGTTCCACCATAAATTCTGCTATATCGTATGCGCATTCGTTCATACGAGGGGGTTGACACGACCGAGGAGGGGGGTGAGATGCATGGCGAGGGGAAGGACGGTGTCCATTTGCGTGCGCGGAACGGGCCTTCACGATACGCGTAATAAAGTGGGGGAGACGGATAACGAGGAAACGGAATAAAGAGATGTTGTTGACTTGAGATTTCGATTTTTGAAAATATTTATTTTTTTTACTTTTCTCGATATCGTTCAATTTCTAGAGATCGGTTCACCAGAGGTTTCGTATCGATAATTAAAAAAATTATTACTTCTTTGGACTGGATCCAGGTGAATACTTTTTCTCGGATAATTAGAGCAGATAAATAAAAAAAAAAAGGCAAAATAAATTAATTCTTCTTCTCCAAGAAAATTGCGACAATTATAGGCTGGATTTGAAGTTATTCGTTATTCGTCTTCAATTGTTATATTATAAAAAAAGAAATTACGTGGTACGTAAACGATGTATCGTTCTTATTAAGATGCAGCTCGAGGATACAGTGTTCCCGACTTGATTGTATCCTAGTCCATACATTTAACTTCTAGTCGGAACAATTAAAAACCAGCTGTTTTAACTCCGGCATCCGTGTGTCCGCACCCCATCCGAGGGGTCTTCTACTCTTCTGACCGCAAACGCACTCGCGGTTCACTTTCGTTGACAACAGGAACAGGGATTGCATTTATGTTGCCATTTGCGGTGGTCCATGATGCGCTCGATTGTTCGTTTCCATGTATTGAAACTTGTTCACAGTCGGGGAGTTTTTTCTTTTTTCTTTTTTTTCAGATTTCGTACAGGAGTCGAGAAATTCGGGTTGGATTTCTTCTTTTCTTCTTTTAATTTTTTTCAATCGTGA